ACTACGTATTAGTGGCGACGAAAATGACGAACCCAATGTTGAATGCACCTCCTATATTTTGGTCATCTGCTGAGGAAAAGCCGACCTTATCGAAATGGATAAGATGGAGAAAATCATTTACTAACTACGTGGAATTACTTCCTGTACTGAATCCGACCGTTTATCTTTCTGAGGCTCACAAAATCACACTATTCAGGCAAGTGCTTGGCGATGAAGGTCAAAGGCACTACGATGCCCTACAACTGGAAAAGTATATCACCCTCAGTTCTGCTTTGGATACTTATACCACGTTATGGGGGATGAAACAAAATGTTTACGCTGCTAGATACTGCTTTTCAAAACTGGTCCAAAAACCGAACGAAAGCGTCAATGATTTTATTGCACATATTCACCAATCCATTCCTGATTGTAAGTAGAATGATATTCCACCTGGAAAAATTGAAGAGCAAATGAAAATTCAATGTTTGATTGCGGGAATATCGGACGAAAGTGCTAGAGAGAAGTTGCTATCCTTGGATGAGTCGGCCACCACGTGGGAAAACGCTTGTCTCATCGTTCGCCAACGTGAGAACATTACAAACCAATTACGCGAGTTCACCGGTCGGCCGGTAGCTGATGATGTGCAGGCGGTCCGTAAATCAGACAGCAGTGAAAATCGAAAACAATTTATGTGTTATCGTTGCGGTTTGCGGCATTCTCACGTTTCCGTTTGCCGGCACAAAGAAAGTATCTGTCGGAAATGTGGCAAGATAGGTCATCTAGCACGCGTCTGTAGATCGGAAAGTTCCCGCCCCACGAACATCGCCTCATCAAATCGTCAAAGCACTATAGAGCTACGGGAAGATGATGTCCTAAAAAATTTGAACAGTGAGCTTAACACCGTGTACTAGAACAGTGTGACACACAAAAACTGTCCTCCTTATACAATACGTTTGATGATAGAGGATGAACCGGTAGACATGGAGCTAGATACTGGGGCGGCGGTCACCATTGTAAACCGCGGTTCAATGAAAAAGCTACCACCTTTGCTACCGTGCAACTCGAAATTACAGACGTACACAGGTCATCCAATTCAGGTGTTGGGCAGATGTTTCGTTTAAGCCAGGCACGGGGAGCGCGAATTCCCCCTGCCTTTAATCGTTGTACCTGGGAACAAACCGAATCGCATGGGTCGAGACTGGATACAGTTCTTTCCCGAGACCATGCAACTCAACCAACTCACTGTTAAAGACGGCAGTTTGAATGGATTATTGAACGAGTTCTCATCGTTGTTTGAAAATAAACTGGGAAAAATGCGTCATTTCAAGGCTCCTATCAAACTCCGAGAGGGTGCAGAACCAATATTTTACAAAGCTAGATCATTACTTTATGCGATGCGCCCTAAAGTTAAGGCAGAGATACAACATCTGCAATCAGAAGGAGTCATCGTCGCGGTGCAACATTCAGATTGGGGCACTCCCATTGTACCTGTACTCAAACCTGACGGCTCCGTCCGTATTTGCGGAGACTACAAGTTGACAGTCAACCAAGCGTCGTAAGTGGAAAAATATCCCCTACTGTAGAGGGGCCGCTTCCAAGTATGGCTCTGGGGAGCTCTTCGGAGCTAGCTGAGAGCGGATCGCGAAAGACGGCTAGCGACGATCCTGGGCCCGGAACTACGGAGCGGGAATATGTGGACAGCGCAATAAATCAGACAAATACGCCGCTAGCCCAGCCCACAGCACCGAGGCCGAGCCGATTGACACAGCCCAGAACAAGCAAGTCGAGAGCTCTCGAACGACTCCTGGCCGATCCAAATCGGGTGCAGAGAAGCGGAGATCGAGGCGAAAACAGGAAGGTGGATCTGCCAAGTCAGAGCTCCCAGGCGAAAGGACTGGCTCGTCTCTAACATCCGTACCTGTGTTACGTTGTGGGACGGAAATCTAGTCGATATTCGATGGCGCGCGCGAGACCCTCATGTGCCCATTTTCGGTGTGCAATAAACGTCTACCCCCCTGTCTTGTCGTTCTCGCTACACTTGGTGCCGTGACCAATCGCCATGGAGTTGACCCGGTTGGAGCAATTTGCGGCCGGTGACGTGGAAGCGTGGCTCGATGAGTTCGACGGAATTGCGGCTTGCACGGGTGTGAGGGGGGATGCAAATTTGCTAATTGCTTTGGGCACACGGTTGAGTGGACGAGCCAAGGCGGTGTATTTGCTCACTCGAAAGGCCAAACCCGGTTGTTCGTTCGCTGAGATGAGGGCTGCCTTGTGTGCAGAATTTGGGAAGGATCTGGAGAGAGAACGAGCACTGCAACGATTTCACGCAGCCAGATGGGACGAACAGGAGGATTTGATGGTGTTTTTCCAGCAGCTGGACAGACATCTAACGATTGGGCTCCCCGAGTTAGAGGGCAAACCAAGAGAGCGCCTTCTGAAACAGCAGTTTATCCGAAGTCTGCCCGGTCCACTCCATGATCAGGTGAAATTGGCGTCGCTGGTGGGAGACAGCAAAGCGTTGGATCTGGTGACAGTCGCCCAGAATTTGTCGGAACGAGTGACAGTGAGAAGCATCCAGCATGCTGAGTTGGAACAGAAAGTAAATCGCCTATCCGAAATGGTGGAGCAGCTGTTGTCGATAGAGTCTTCAAGCACCACTTCACAACGCAATGTACGGGTAATCCGGAACGGTCGCCGCTGTTTCCGATGCAACCAGAATGGTTATGTGGCGAGATTCTGCACCAACGTCAATGTGCCCCATTGTTTCTCTCTATCCATGCCGAGTCGGTGGCGAGTACCAGTCCTCCAGGTAACTATAGAAGGTGTGTCTGTCCGAGCCATAGTAGACAAGGAGCGGCAGTGTCAATTACGAAGAGGTTCAATGGGGTTCCAATAAACCCATCTTCAATCACGATGCAGACGGTCGGCGGGCATTTTTTGAAAGTGACGGGCACGCAGCGGTTACGAATCAGGATAGGAGAAACGCTCATCAGCCATGACATGTTCATCGTGGAGGAGACGACCGAAACCATCATCGGAACCGACATCCTGAAACGGCTCGGTGTCACAATTGACCTGAAAAACGATGTGGTGATCGTGGCTAACGAGACGATCGAGATAAACTAGGGTTGGTGCCCTCAAAGCCGTGCCTGATTGTCAGAACCGTGCAATACGCAACGTACTGAGCAGGTATGCCCACTTATTCACAGACGCGGAAGATGATTACGGATTTGCAATTGGGTTGAACACCGAATACCGTTGATCCCAGGAGGACAATGCAAGCCAATCTTCAGACGAATTCCACAGAACACCCTGGTGGAGATACAGAAGCAGGTGACCGAGATGGAATCGAAAGGAATCATCAGGCGAACGCACAGCCCGTATTCATCACCCGTGCTATTGACGAAGAAGGCCGACGGAACCTATCGATTTTGCATCGATTTCAGAGAACTAAACAGGGTGACTGTGAAGGATGCATTCCCGATGCCTCAGATGGAAGAAATTTTCTCAAGCCTTCACAGTGCGAAGCAGATATCTCTGATTGATCTCCGCTCGGGATATTGGCAACTGCCGATCGCAGAAGAAGATCGCCACAAGACGGCTTTCAGTGTCAATGGCCAGCAGTATGAGTTTTTGAGAATGCCGTTTGGATTGTGCAACGCCCCGGCTACATTCAGGCGTTTGTTGCTGATGGTCCTCGCGAACCTGCAAGGCGTGGTTGTGTACGGTGATAACATCATCGTCTTCTCTGAGACGGAACAGGAACATGTGACCAGACTTGGAGCAGTACTGCAGAGGCTAGATGAAGCTGGTCTGAAACTCAGTCGTAAAAAGTCGCAGATTGCCCAAAAGTCAATTGTATGCTTGGGTCACATCGTGGGCAATGGTCAAGTCCATCCACTTCCGGAGAAACGCGAGATGATCAAGTGCTTCGCAAAGCCGAAATCCAAGCGTCAGCTCCGTTCGTTCTTGGGAGTGGTGGCATATGATTCAAAGTTTGTGCCCCAGTTCGCAGAGAAGGTCAGCCCGTTGTTAAAGCTGCTTCGCAAGGACGTGCCCTTCGTGTGGACAGCTGAAGCGGATCAGGCCTTTGACCATCTAAAGGCAGACATAGCAGAAGCCCCGACATGTCTACGGCTACCCAATCCTGGTGAGAGGTTCACTGTGGCTGTCGACGCAAGCAACGTGGCCATCGGTGCGGTTTTGTCTCAACCGGCTGGGGTGGTGGAGTACGCGAGCAGAGTGCTGACGGGAGCGGAACAGAAGTATTCAGCAACGGAGAAAGAATGCTTGGCCATCGTGTGGGCGTTAGAGAAGTGGAGAAATTACTTACTGGCGAATGAATTCCGGGTCGTCACTGACCACAAACCGCTCTCGTGGTTGATGACGGCGAAAGACCCGCGGGGACGGCTTGCGCGATGGGCCTACCGATTGCAGGAATTCAACTTCACCATTGAGCACGTGGATGGAACGCAAAATGTATTGCCAGATATGTTGTCACGCCCGTGTTTGGACGACATCATGCCAGACAATGCCATACCGGTGCGTGCGATCACGATGGGGGAGAGGAACCTGCTGGGAGATCAAAGGACAGATGAATTCGTGAAGGTGTTGTGCTCTCACTTACAGGCTGGCACCAAACCGGAGGCCACATCGGAAGCGGTGGAGGAACTCCTCAAGATCTGGGACAGGTTGAAGGTCGAAAACGATAACGTGGTGGTGGCGATAGACGGACGGAAAGTGCCTCTTGTTCCACCAAATCAGCGAGAACGTGTGATGCGCATAACTCATGATGGCGCCCATATGGGATTCGAGCGGGTCTTTGAATTGCTGCGGAGGCGAGTGTTTTGGCCAACCATGAGGAAGGACGTCGCGGCATACCTTCGGGAGTGCCCAAACTGCCAAACGAGTCGGGAGATGGAGTCCCCGAGACCGCCGATGCGATCGATGGAGGTTGGTGAGCCACTTCAGGGTTGGGGACTGGACGTCTTTGGGCCCTTACCAGTGAGTCGAACAGGAAACAGATACATTCTAGTGATGATTGACCACTTCACTCGATGGGTGGAAGCCATACCAATCAAGGACCAAACAGGCGAGACAGTGTCGCAAGTATTCGAATTCAATGTGCCTGCAAGGTATGGGATCCCACAGTGTATCATCACGGACCAAGGGCCCTGCTTCGAGTCAAGAGCGTTTAAGTCAGTGTTGGACAAGTGGGGCATCCAGAGACGGCGAACTTCACTGTACCACCCACAAACCAACGGGATGACCGAGCGGTTCAACCGGACATTGAAGACGTGGATAAACTGCACGAAGTTGGCATGGGAAGATGCTTTGCCTCAGGTTCTGATCGCGTATCGGACCAGCATGCAATCAACCACCAAGGTCTCACCATTCGAATTACTGTTCGGCAGAGAACCACGGATTGCGCTCCATACTTGCCTACCGAACCAGGGTGAGTGGAAACATCCAGCTGAGCATCAAGAGCGACTGCGATGGAAAGCTAGAAGCGAAACCAAAGCTCGACAAGCGCGGAATAAGCGAAATTACGACGCCAGGCATGAGGCTCACAAGTGGAGGCCATTCAGGATTGGAGAACGGGTCAAGTTACGGAACAACGATCGGCCGGATCATGACGGGCCGGGCGCAAGCAAATTCAGAGAACGCTGGAAAGGCCCCTACACCATTATCGACCAGAAAGCGGGCAACTTCTTAATCGACTGCGGAGGAACGAAACGTTGGGTGAATACTGCTCTCCTGCGACCATGGTACGAGAGGAAGAAAGGTCCTGGAGGAGGGGCGGGTGTAGAGGGGCCGCTTCCAAGAATGGCTCTGGGGAGCTCTTCGGAGCTAGCTGAGAGCGGATCGCGAAAGACGGCTGGCGACGAGCCTGGGCCCGGAACTACGTAGCGGGAATATGTGGACAGCGCAATAAATCAGACAAATACGCCGCTAGCCCAGCCCACAGCACCGAGGCCGAGCCGATTGACACAGCCCAGAACAAGCAAGTCGAGAGCTCTCGAACGACTCCTGGCCGATCCAAATCGGGTGCAGAGAAGCGGAGATCGAGGCGAAAACAGGAAGGTGGATCTGCCAAGTCAGAGCTTCCGAGGCGAAAGGACTGGCTCGTCTCTAACATCCGTACCTGTGTTGCGTTGTGGGACAGAAATCTAGTCGATATTCGATGGCGCGCGCGAGACCCTCAGGTGCCCATTTTCGGTGTGCAATAAACGTCTACCCCCCTGTCTTGTCGTTCTCGCTACATTGGTGCCGTGACCAATCGCCATGGAGTTGACCCGGTTGGAGCAATTTGCGGCCGGTGACGTGGAAGCGTGGCTCGATGAGTTCGACGGAATTGCAGCTTGCACGGGTGTGAGGGGGGATGCAAATTTGCTAATTGCTTTGGGCACACGGTTGAGTGGACGAGCCAAGGCGGTGTATTTGCTCACTCGAAAGGCCAAACCCGGTTGTTCGTTCGCTGAGATGAGGGCTGCCTTGTGTGCAGAATTTGGGAAGGATCTGGAGAGAGAACGAGCACTGCAACGATTTCACGCAGCCAGATGGGACGAACAGGAGGATTTGATGGTGTTTTTCCAGCAGCTGGACAGACATCTAACGATTGGGCTCCCCGAGTTAGAGGGCAAACCAAGAGAGCGCCTTCTGAAACAGCAGTTTATCCGAAGTCTGCCCGGTCCACTCCATGATCAGGTGAAATTGGCGTCGCTGGTGGGAGACAGCAAAGCGTTGGATCTGGTGACAGTCGCCCAGAATTTGTCGGAACGAGTGACAGTGAGAAGCATCCAGCATGCTGAGTTGGAACAGAAAGTAAATCGCCTATCCGAAATGGTGGAGCAGCTGTTGTCGATAGAGTCTTCAAGCACCACTTCACAACGCAATGTACGGGTAATCCGGAACGGTCGCCGCTGTTTCCGATGCAACCAGAATGGTTATGTGGCGAGATTCTGCACCAACGTCAATGTGCCCCATTGTTTCTCTCTATCCATGCCGAGTCGGTGGCGAGTACCAGTCCTCCAGGTAACTATAGAAGGTGTGTCTGTCCGAGCCATAGTAGACAAGGAGCGGCAGTGTCAATTACGAAGAGGTTCAATGGGGTTCCAATAAACCCATCTTCAATCACGATGCAGACGGTCGGCGGGCATTTTTTGAAAGTGACGGGCACGCAGCGGTTACGAATCAGGATAGGAGAAACGCTCATCAGCCATGACATGTTCATCGTGGAGGAGACGACCGAAACCATCATCGGAACCGACATCCTGAAACGGCTCGGTGTCACAATTGACCTGAAAAACGATGTGGTGATCGTGGCTAACGAGACGATCGAGATAAACTAGGGTTGGTGCCCTCAAAGCCGTGCCTGATTGTCAGAACCGTGCAATACGCAACGTACTGAGCAGGTATGCCCACTTATTCACAGACGCGGAAGATGATTACGGATTTTGCAATTGGGTTGAACACCGAATACCGTTGATCCCAGGAGGACAATGCAAGCCAATCTTCAGACGAATTCCACAGAACACCCTGGTGGAGATACAGAAGCAGGTGACCGAGATGGATCGAAAGGAATCATCAGGCGAACGCACAGCCCGTATTCATCACCCGTGCTATTGACGAAGAAGGCCGACGGAACCTATCGATTTTGCATCGATTTCAGAGAACTAAACAGGGTGACTGTGACGTATGCAATTCCCAGTGGGGGCTGGGGGGGGGGGGGGGGTGGGGGGGGGGGTGGGGGGGGGGGGGGGGGGGGGGGGGGGGGGGGGGGGGGGGGGGGGGGGGGGGGGTCGGACGGGGAGCATATAACATATCATAGTGTGTGCCCCAGGAACCAACGCCATCATATCGGGGGATGGGGGGGGGGGGGGGTGGGGGGGGGTGGGGGGGGCATTTTGCAGATGCCGATTACCCTCTAGACATTCTCTAGGGGAAGCAATCACACACACGGGGGGAAACATATATACCACGGCATGGGGCGGAGGGGTGCGCGTGTGGGTGGGGGGCGGGGGGGGGGGGGGGGGGGGCAGTCATACAAACCCGACAGACCCAGACCCATGCAACACATGCTCACAATCACATCTAAAGAGGGTGCGACGGGGTCTGTGTGGGGTGCGTGCTATATCTGATCTAGAAGGGCCTCATAAGGGGGCGAGGAGCGTGGTATATGTTGTGTTGCTGTGGGTGGGGGGGACACACACACGGACAATGATAGGGGGGGGAGGGGGGGAATAGGGGGGAAGAGGGGGAGTGTAGTGTAGGGGGGGTGGTGGGTAGGGGTGAGTACACATAGGGGGGGGGGGAGAAGATATCTAAATATATCGTTTCTCCTGTCCTGATTCGTAACCGCGGCGTGCCCGTCACTTTCAAAGTATGCCCGCCGACCGTCTGCCTCGTGATTGAAGATGGGCTTACTGGAACCCCGTTGAACCTCTTCGTAATTGACACTGCCGCTCCTGTGTCTACTATGGCTCGGACACACACATGTTCTATAGTTACCTGGAGGACTGGTACTCGCCACCGACTCGGCATGGATAGAGAGAAACAATGGGGCACATTGACGTTGGTGCAGAATTTCGCCACATGACCACTCTGGTTGCTTCGGAAGCAGCGGCGACCGTTCCGGATTGCCCGTATATTGCGTTGTGAAGTGGTGCTTGAAGACTCTATCGACAATTGCTGTTCCACCATTTCGGATAGGCGATTTACTTTCTGTTCCAACTCAGCTTGCTGGATGCTTCACACTGTCAAACGTTCCGACAAATTCTGGGCGACCGTCACCGGATCCAACGCTTTACTGCCTCTCACCATCGACTCCAATTTCACCTGATCACAGAGTGGATCGGACAGACTTCGAATAAACTGCTGTTTCAGTAGGCGCTCTCTTGCGTGGCCCTCTAACTCGGGAGCCCAATCGTTAGATGTCTGTCCAGCTGCTGGAAAACACCATCGAATCCTCCTGTTCGTCCCTTCTGGCTGCGTGAAATCGTTGCAATGCTCGTTCTCACTCCGGATGCTTCCCAAATTCTGCACACAAGGCGGCCCTCATCTCAGCGAACGAACAGCTGGGGTTGGCCTTCCGAGTGAGTTGACACACCGCCTTGGATCGTCCACTCAACCGTGTGCCCAAGGCAAGTAGCAAATTTGCATCACCCCTCACCCCCATGCAAGCCGCAATCCCGTCGAACTCCTCGAGTCACGCCTCCACGTCACCGGTCGCAAATTGCTCCAACCGGGTCAACTCCATCGCGAATGGTCGCGGCACCAGTGTGGCGAAAACGACACGACAGGGGGTAGACGTTTATTGCTCACCGAAAATGAACACATTAGGGTCTCACGCGCGCCATCGAATATCAATAAATAAATAAATAAATAGTTTATTCTCAGTTTCATAGAGACACACCAACTCAAGCATGATCAAGGTTTAAAAACAGATGTGTATCACGACGATACATCGGGTTCAATCGTGTGTAGTTGAAACGGTGTTGGGAAGAGTTGATATGTGAGTCTAGTCGACTTGCCAGTATGTAGTTGTGAGCAGTGACTTTATTCAGTGGCGAGTCACATCCGCCACGTCGCAGTGTTGTTAAACAGACATTTGTGGCTTTTTATAGGGAGAACGCTTGCCAGGCGAAAACCCACCACTTCCTGCAACACTGCAGTAAATCATTTTGAACATTAATGTTGAACTGGCAAAGCCGCTTGACGACTGGTTTTACCTTCGGTTTTTCGCAGAGTAATGGCTTCTAATTTCCTCTGTTAGCTGGACAGGTAATTTGATGGGGGTCGCTATGATTTTTGAGGTCGGTGGAGGAGAGGGACATCGCGATTATTCTTCTTGTTGTATGTCCAGGTGAGCAAAAGTTCAACTTTTCCGCTGTCCAGATTTTTCAGATGTATACTATATGGGAGTATGAGGATATGTCCAGTTCTCCATACTGGACAAGGGTTGTGGTGATTGTATTTCGGTCCTTTCGGAGTTCTACCATGCTCCATGTAAGTCCTTGTGGGTTGTTACGTCCGTCTTGGGCCAAAACTGTTCCTCAGTCCAATCTCAGATCTCCAAGAAGTCCCGGACCTCAGAGAAAAGGGAAAGTGAGGGACAACCGAGAGAAGACCGCAAGAACAGGCATGGAGTTGAACATTGTTAATGACTTGTGTAACAACATTTGGGCTTGAGACAAAAGCATGTACTCTGTGCAACAATAATTATGCTGAGAATGTCTTTAATATTCTATAGAAGCAGTAGCCGTATGGGTGGATTGCTAACGCCCGCGTAGAGACAAGCGCGTTGTACCAGTAAGTAAAGTACGAAGTATCCGTTAAGTATGAGCCAATAATTGCATGGGGATAGAGAAAAGAGTTGGAATATTGGTAGTGATTGTCAGGTGCATGAACAGCACGTAGTTGGCGTAATCCGAGTGGGGGGGCATAATAAGCGAAAACAATTAGGTTGCCGCGAGAGAATCCTAAAGATCAATTGGTGACAGGGCAGCGGAAGGACTCGATGCAGACATTCTAAAGGAATAAAGGTTATTGAGACACGGAGTGGCTCCTAACAAGCACAGGATCATCGCAAAGCCATGGGGCCATTGGCCGCCAGCTACTTCTGAAAAGAGATGCCGAATTTACGACAACCGACAGATGGTAGCGCTAGGAGAGACTCCGTGGCCTAATGTGGCCATTCCAATCGGACGCTTGGTCACTAGTTTATGCCTATACGGTCGCTGAGTATATCAACAGGCCAGTGAAGGTTAGTGATAAGTTAACAGACCAGCTGAGCTGTGACGCAAACAATCCAAGTGCATGAACATTGTAAGCAGGGAGCGAGCTCCGGATATCCGCAACGTTAAATGGAAGCTATGGCGACTAGCTTCTGCTAAGCAGAGATAGTGGCTCTAGAAAAGAATGTATCAGTGGCTGGTGTAGCCATATCATTAAGACGTTTGACCATTACTGGATACCTACAATTTCGATGAAGAAATCAACATGCGAGCGAAGGTTAAAGAGACAGACGGCAGAAGTAAATGAAGGTTGGAGAGTCAGGGAGTGGCTCCATGCAAGCCACATGGAGCCAGCAATTACCAGCTGCTGTCAAGAAGAGTCGATGCGAGTAGGACGAACGACACATCACGGCGCGCTGGGAGAGAGGAGAGTGACCAGCATTAGGTACTAGATTTCCCTCCCACAACGCAACACAGGTACGGATGTTAGAGATGAGCCAGTCCTTTCGCCTCGAAAGCTCTGACTTGCATGACCCGCCTTCCTGTTTTCGCTTCGATCTCCACTTCCCTGCACCCGATTTGGATCGGTCAGGAGTCGTTCGAGAGCTCCCGACTTGCTTGTTCTGGGCAGTGTCAATCGGCTCGGCCTCGGTCCTGTGGGCTGCGCTAGCGGCGTATATGTCTGATTTATTGCGTTGTCCACATATTCCCGCTCCGTAGTTCCGGGCCCAGGCTCGTCGCTAGCCGTCCTTCTTGATCCGCTCTCAGCTAGCTCCGAAGAGCTCCCCCGAGGCATTCTTAGAAGCGGCCCCTCTACACCCGCCCCTACTCGAGGACCTTTCTTCCTCTCGTACCATGGTCGCAGGAGAGCAGCATTCACGCAACGTTTCATACCTCCGCAGTCGACTAAGAAGTTGCCCGCATTCTGGTCGATAATGGTGTAGGGGCCTTTCCAGCGTTCTCTGAACTTGCTTGCGCCCAGCCCGTCATGATCCGGCCGATCGTTGTTTCGTAACTTGACTCGTTCTCCAATCCTAAATGGCCTCCACTTGTGAGCCTTATGCCTGGCGTTGTAATTTCGCTTATTCCGCGCTTGTCGAGCTTTGGTTTCGCTTCTAACTTTCCCTCGCAATCGCTTTTGCTGCCCAGCTGGATGTTTCCGCTCACCCAGGTTCGGTAGGCAAGTATCGAGTGCAATCCGTGGTTCTCTGCCGAACAGTAATTCGAATGGCGAGACCTTGGTGGTTGATTGCATGCTGGTCCGATACGCGATCAGAACCTGAGGCAAAGCATCTTCCCATGCCAACTTCGTGCAGTTTATCCACGTCTTCAATGTCCGGTTGAACCGCTCGGTCATGCCGTTGGTTTGTGAGTGGTACGGTGAAGTTCGCCGTCTCTGGATGCCTCACTTGTCCAACACTGCCTTAAACGCTTTTGACTCGAAGCAGGGTCCTTGGTCCGTGATGATACATTGTGGGATCCCATACCTTGCAGGCACATTGAATTCGAATATTTGCGACACTGTCTCGCTTGTTTGGTCCTTGATTGGTATGGATTCCACCCTTCGAGTGAAATGGTTACTCATCACTAGAATGTATCTGTTTCCTGTTCGACTCACTGGTAAGGGCCCAAAGACGTCCAGTCCCCAACACTGAAGTGGCTCACCAACCTCCATCGATCGCATCGGCGGTCTCGGGGACTCCATCTTCCGACTCGTTTGGCAGCTTGGGCACCCCGAATGTATGCCGCGACGTCCTTCCTCATGGTTTGCCAAAACACTCGCCTCCGCAGCAATTCAAAGACCCGCACGAATCCCATATGTGCGCCCTCACGCGTTATGCGCATCACACGTTCTCACTGATTTGGTGGAACAAAAGGCACTTTCCGTCCGTCTATCGCCACCACCACATTATCGCTTTCGACCTTCAACCTGTCCCAGATCTTGAGGAGTTCCTCCACCTCTTCCGATGTAGCCTCCGGTTTGGTGCCAGGCTGTAAGTGAGAGCACAACACACGCACGAATGCATCTGCCCTTTGATCTCCCAGCAGGTTCTTCTCTTCCATCGCGATCGCACGCACCGGTATGGCATTGTCTGGCATAGCGTCGTCCATACACGGACGTGACAACATATCTGGAAATACATTCTGCGTTCCATCCACGTGCATAATGGTAAAGTTGAATTCCTGCAATCGGT